TCAGTGTATGAAAAAGCCTATTTTTCCAAAGCCTCATCAATGAAATGGACTGCTACACTTCCAGACATTAGCCAATTTGATATTCAGGAAATGCTATCTCGGTACATTTTAATTTGCATTTCTCTTATTTAGAGTCATCTCAACATATTTTTGTGGTTCAGAGACATTGTATTTCCTTTTTCTTATTTTTTCAGCTGGTTTTATTTTGATGAATGCACTTTTAAAAAATATCCTAAATGCTTCTTAAAACATACAATATATACCATATAAAATAATTTAAAGGGTTGGGGTGTGGCGCCAGGGATAGATTACCTGGTGCCTAATACTGGCCCTGAGTTCAAATTCAGTAATGCCAAAAAAAATAATTTAGAACAAAGTGTGTATTATAATATTTAGTTTATTTTTGTAGACATTTGGAAAAGCAATGGGAAGAAAAGAAATCGAAATGCTAATAGTTTTCTCTGGGGGATAAGACAAAAAAGTGACCTTGCTTCTTTTATTTTCCCATGTTCTAATTTTATGGAATTTGAAAACAGGAAAAGTGTATCAAAAATGTAATACTGTAAAATAAGAGTTTCATTTTTTTAGTTTTTAAATCCAACTTAAGCCAAAAATACGAATTTAAGTAATCATCAATATGTGTTTACAATATATTTTTAATTGTTACTGCGCTGTCTACATTCAGACATGAATCTTATAATGGACTTTTGTTTTCCAAATAAGACTGAGATTTTTAATGAAGTTTACTTATTCTACATTGAACTGTCTTTTAAAAAGTTCAGTGATTGCATATAAGAAGGACAATCACATAACAAATTCAAAGTAACACTGGAAAACATTTTTTAAGAGGTAGGGTTTTACTATGTTGCCCAGGCTGGCCTCTTAATTCCTGGGCTCAAAGCAATTCTCCCACTCCAACTTCCCAGGTAGCTGGGACTGCAAGTGCATACCACCATTCCCAACTTACTGAACAATTTTAAAGGAATCTAGTGCTTCCTTTTTCTGAAAGTGTTTTACACTGTTTTATAGTAAATCCTCATTAATTCTGACACCACTCTAGTACATTCAGATAGAAATCAAGGTTGACAAATGATTCACAAAATGTTCATCATTTGCTTAAAAATGTAAGTTGAAGAAGGCTAGGCAAGTAAGATAAATTTAAATCAATATGCTCAATGTCCTTCAAAAAATAAGCATTTCTGAGTGCTTTAGAAATACCTATTACCTACCCACATTCAATATTTTATCACAAATACAGAACCCTAAAGCCTTCAGAATAAATGGCTACAAGGATCAGTAAATGTTTCCTATAAAGGTCTTACAGTTAATATTTTAGGCTTTGCAAGCCATATGGTCTCTATCACAACCACTCAACTCTGCCACTTAAGCACAAAAACTGCTACAGATAATATTAAAAAAAAACAAAACAAGGATAGACTATGTTCCAATAAACTTTATTTGTGGGCACAAATGTGAACTTCATGTAATTTTCACATGCCACAAAACAGTACTTTTCTTTAAATTGTTAAACATGTTAGCTGAACATACACCCATAGGCAGTGGAACAGATTTGGTATATGGGCCATAGTTTGACAACTCTTATCTAAGTGAATGAACACCAAACTTTGTTCAGTATGACCAACAAATAAAAAGTATATTTTAAACCACAATACTTGTGATGGTTTATCTTGATTGTGAACTTAATTGGATTAAGAAAACAGCTAGGAGATTAGGAAAGCACATCTCTGGGTGTATCTGAGGGTGTTTCCAAAAACAACTAGCTGATGAGAGCCTGACCTAATTAATCCCTGATGGATTCATGATATGATGGCATTATTAGGAAGTGGTAAAAAGTAGGAGATGAGGACTTTGTAGGACCCTTCCCCTCTCTCCACTTCCGGTCCACTAGGATATAGTCCACTGCTCTGCTAGATCCTCCCCACCATGATAGACTGGAACCTTTGAAACTGTGAACAAAAATAAATCCTTCTTCCCTTAAGTTGTTCTCTCAGTCATTTTGGCTACAACAACAAGAAAGGCATTAACTATTACAACTCTGGTGGAAGATGGTAAAAGGATTATGAAATAATACTAAGCTGTAATACATATGATAGTTATTTTCTCTTTAAATATTAGTTACTAATGGGTACTGACTCAAACTTGAAAAACACTGATCTCATTCTCAACCTTTGGTTGAAAAACTGGCATCTAGAGAAATAAAACTAATTGTCCATACACACACACACACAGTCAGTGGGAAAGCCAAGTCTAAAACATGTTTTTCAGAGTGTCCTACCCGACCAAGATGTTTCCCCATCTCAGCCTGCTGAGACTCGGAGACAATGGATTCAGATCACTTCAGAAGTGATGACTCATATCTGGAGCAACAAAGTAGGAGGCAAAATAACATCTTTATTACGGTCATGAAAATCAATGAGAAAATCTCTCTTGGATAAAACACTTTTAAGAGACTTTTCTGATGAACTCTCTCATGAGGTCCACAGGGATTAGAGGTATCCTTACTGGTTAAAATTAAGGCTAAAAATCAGAGATTTGTACAATAGTTATGTTTCTATTCTTTACTCTGCCTTCCAATTTTACCTCATATGTTGTAGGTTAGTAAGAAGTGAAAATACTTTTAGTCTGAAGCAATTTAATAAAGAAATTTGCTTTTGGGGTTTAAAAAGCACTTAAAATTCAGACAGTACCATCTGCGGTCAGGATGACATCCTGAACTCTGGAGAGATAGCCTAAGAGGTGATGCTAAAAAATGCAAGTTGCTACCAGATTCTGACTCACTTCAGATGTGTCCATTCTAGTCCTCTAAGACACAATGAGATATGCAGAAGAGCTCCTGGGGGGAACACATGCAAAGAGCAAAGGAGAGAGGGAGTACTCATAGGCAAGGAGGCCTTCAGACAAAAACCAGGTCTAACACCTGAGAAAGGAGAACACTTAGGCAGGAAGAGCCTCAGACTGTAGCTCCTCAGAAGATTTGGCCAGAACAATGGGGAGCCCAGAGTAGAGACTGTCTATGAGCAGATTACAGCACTGATCAGGATTGACTCAGTTCTAGTACCCCCACCACAGTGAGCATTAGCAAAAAGTAACACAGAAAGGAGAGGGCATAGCCTCAGCGAAAATGCTGTTCTAGACCCCAAAGATATGCAACTAAAAGATGTAGTACTTCAATCCTCAAAGCGGGTTCTCTCATGAGGAGAGAGAAACAACTCACTGCCATAGGCACTGCAGTCCACCTGTGCCACGTAGATCCTCTTCTCTACTCCCCACCCATATTTGGAGTGTGGCTTCTACACAATTTCTGTGGTAGAGGAAATGTGGAAGTAAAACAGCAGGACAAACTTCATCCCCCATTTTTCTCAGGGCTGCAACTCCTCATTTCCATCCTCCAGTATCTAGCAAATCCCCCTCACCCTTAGCAATCACCTCTGCAGCTTATTTGGTTAAGTGACCCAAACTTTCATTCTGGAATTGGGTAAGATCCTGGGAATCATATTATTCTTATGCCAGAGTGGCAATCACATGTCCATGTACAGTTGAAAGTAATCAAGGGAGTAGCAAGAAGCAAATAAGTGGATAACCTGAATTCCACCCATATTCACCCTGGTGCCACTGTGTAAAAGCAGCCCTAACCCCTTGCACTTAGCTGGGTCAATTACTTACATCTAGATGGTAAAGCCTCTTCCCATCTGCTGGTTCTGGATACAAGGAGTCTAAAGCATACAGTTGGCAGCCACAGCTTGTAGTTATATTGCACTCTTGCTGTGTCTCCCATGGAAAGACAGCACACACTGGGGCACTGAGAACCACAGTCAATAGGGCCACTTCCATTTCCACCTCCTGGTTCCCATCTTTTACAAGGGATACAGAACTATGAACAAATCTCTAATTTAGTGCACTTACTGCACCCTAAAAGACGCCACCCATACAGACTATTTCCTGCGTAAGAGCTTCACCTGTGCCTTTTGTAGGCCATTTCATCCTACCACAAGTCGAGCTGTCTCTGGATGGTGCAATCTATGGTTCAGTAGGTGCTACGGCCCAGGTCTACTACCACACATTTTCCCCAATGAAGAAAACTCCCTGTTCTTACGCTATGTGGTGTGGGATTCCGTACCTGTGGATCACAGAGCCAACTGGTAGCACTACTACACACTAAATTGTCAAAAATGATAAATTATACTAGAGGCTATAGATAAAAAATAAGTAAGACAGAATTCTTGCTTTAAAGAAGCTTATATTCTAGGGAGAATCAAATACCAACAGCAAGATCTTCTTTTTTCATTAAATACTATAGTACTCATATATTATATATACTATTAAATATACTAATGTCACTAAATACTATAGTATTCATTACAAGAGTACACAGATTTTCTTTTAGAAACTTATAAGCCATCATCATAAGAGTTCAACATCACCAAAAAATAGTTCAGACACACTAAATACATAATTTTATACACCAAATATTCACCAGTTGGCACTATTTAGTACTATTTGACATATCTAATATTATTTGGCATATTAAACATAACCTCAGTTAGCGTTTTTATGAATCTCAAATTTTTGAATTTCCAACTAAATTTTCAAACAAGATAGAAGAGTCTATATTGTTTCATGTATAGCCTATTTCTAAATCACAGTCCTTAACCATGTTCAAATATTAAATTATTAAATAAATATTGCTAAGAATATATTTATTGAAAGATTATTAAGTAAATTTTCTTATTTTGATTTAGTCTAAATAGAAAAATTCTAAATTATCCCATGGTCATGTTTATTATCTGGCTTCATTTGAATAAATAATGTGCTTAGAAAATAAAGTACGTCTACAGCAACAATTTCAAAACAATGCAAAATTCCCAAAGCAACTTCAATTCAGAGCAAGTTCTTCCTAAATACCCAAAGTAATTTTTTTAAGTATACTTCATATTTTAGCAATGGTCTTATTTAGAAGAGGTAAGAAATCTACAACTCACCTTTGTACACCATAAGGCCTTTCTAAAATAGGCTCTTTGAATGGAGGTGGAATGTGACCAAAATAATCAGGATAAGCCACCTCTGAATATTCTGGAACAGACTTAGTATTTTTCACAATCTCAATATAGAGGTCTGAGTCATGGAGTGTTGGTCCATCAGGTACTTCAACAGATGCTTGTTCTACTGATGAGTTGGACTCAGTATCTTCATCATCCTCAATTTCAACCCCAGTACAGCAGAGCTTCCCTAGCTGCACTGTCCGTCCCTCAAACAGTGCATTTCCACAAGTAGCCATGTGTGGACAAGCTTTAGTGCACGTGAGGACAGTGAGAGGGAGACTGTAATCCTTCTTTGTTCCTGCAGTCGAGCCCAGGGCTGTCTGAGAAGGAATATTCTGCAATGTGATTCGGTCCAATGCCTTCACAATATCATTGTTTAGGCCATGAGCTGAAGAAATAGTTCTGTCTTGATCACCTAGTTGCTGTGATAATGTTCTGTCATTATCTTTAACATCTTCTTTTGTGAGATCCTTAATGGTAGGTTTCTTTTCACCTTCTCCTTTAGGTGACACTTTCACCTTCATTCCAGCTCCTTTTCTTAATTTGCTCAAATTCACAGATGCTTCCTCTTCAGCTGTGGGAACAACAATAGGCCCACGCACTTTTCCCTCAAATACAAAAGGCTTTGGTTCTTTGGAGATTAAATCATAGTCCTATAAAAATGATTTGAATGTTTAATTTATTATCTGTCAATATTAAAATATATTAACAAAAGATCATATTCATTTTATATCTTGCTTCAAAAAAACAGCACTTGAAAATTCTTAAGAGGGATAAAAAAAGAAAGGTTTTAATTTCACTAGTAAATTTTATAAAATTTATAATCTGTATTTTTAAAATATTTAACCACAGCAAAATTCATAACAATTATTGCATTTTTATATTATAAAAATAATGCTGCATATCACAGATATATGGGAAATTTTATAAAAGTATAAAGACATTAAAGTCATCCAAAGTTCTAATAGAGGAAACACAACAACTAAATTGTTATCATTAGTTGAGAACCACTGCTCTGGTGCTCCTCAGAGAGCTGAGTGAGGAGGGGAGAATAAAAGCAGACAGTCTGAAAGTTAAATAAGAGTCTGTTACAGTAGTCCAGGGAACCTGGACTGTGAACACAACCAAACTTTACATACTAATAGACCACATTCAGGGTAGAAGGCACAAAGAAAGGTTGCAGATGATGTCAAAAAGTGTTTGCAGGAACTAGAACAGCATGAAAATTGAGAATTTACTTCTAGACACGTGAAGTGTGGGTTGCTGACACACAGACAGACATGTAAAGTAGGCAGCTGGACATAACTTTAGAATTTAGAAGAAAAGTATATGCAGAAGATAAAAATTTGGGAGGCAGAAGCATGCAGATATTATTCCAAGCCATTTGAATGGAAATCATCAATGAAAAAGAAAACACAAAAGAGGAATAAAACTGAGTCCTGAGTACTCTAATATAAAGAGGTTGTAAAGATAAAGATGAAGCAGAATAGGAGACAAAGGGGGTAAAGACAGCACAGAAAAATGAAATCAGGAAAGTAAAGTACCCAGGAAGATAGTGGCTCATGCCTGTAATCCCAGCCACTCAGGAGATGGAGATCCAGAGGACTGCAGGTCAAAGCCAGTGCAGACACAAAGTTCAAGAGATCCTCATCTTGAACAGAAATCTGAGTGTGGTGGCATGTGCCTTTCATCCCCAACTATGAGGAAAACATAGAAGGATTGCAGTCCATGCATGTTGAGTCATAAACGTGACAAAAATAACCACAGCAAAAAAGATGCGGATGAGACTCGAGTAGTGGAGGACCAGCTTATCAAGTGTGAGGGCACTGAGTTCAACCTCCAGTACCAAAAAAAAAGAAAAAAGAAAGCATCCAGACAATTCCTATAAGTTGGATGGAAGAAAATCATTGCTATACTTTCCCAAATGCCTCTTCCTTTTTGGACAATTGTCTTCACCTTGATTCGGGCCCTCCTTTCTATTACTACTGTAATTTTAAAGTACCTTCCAATGCACTTCATATCTATGGGGAGTATCAAGACACAGAGAACAATGGGAAAGAGGGGTTGTTTCACCTTCTACTGCATCCAAGGTGCATCAGTTTATTCTCAAAGAGAAACCCAAAAAATTAGAACTTTAGAACAATAAAATTCAAATACTCTCTGGCAAATACTTCTTTTTTGTTTTTCACATATAACCTTACATTAAAGTCTTTTTCTTAGAGCAACTGAGAATTAAGTATATGGAATTTGGAGAGAAAGAAAGTGTGCCACAGAACAAATTAAATCTTAGAGATTATCTAGTCTAAACATACACTTTAAAATCCTGGGCACTCTCTGAGATTTACCAAAAGACCCACCATAAGTAAGCAACAAAGTGAGAATAAGAAATAAGTTCTAACTGCCAACAATTTAATCAACTTTTTGCTATATAATTTCAGCTCAATAATGATATTTTGGTAAATAAGTGAAGATAAGAAATGTTAATAAGTCACTCTGAGCTAAGCATGGTGGCTATACCTGTAATTCTAGTTACCAGGCAGCTGAAAATACAGAGGATCATAGTTCAAGACCAGTCTAAGCAAAAGAGTTCAAGAGATCCCATCTCAACCAGTAAAAGCTGGATGTAGTGGTGTGTACCTGTCATTGCAGGTATGCAGGAAGCATCCTAGGTATGCAGGTTATCCAGGTCAGCCCAAGCATAAATACAAGAACCTATTCAAAAAATACCTAAAAGCAAAAAAGCCTTGGGGCATGGCTCAAGTGGTAAAGTGCCTGCCTGCCTGATAAGTGTAAGGCCCTGAGTTCAAACCCAAGTACCATCACCCACAAAAAAAGGAAGTCACCCTTCCTACGAATCAACTTATGCTGAAAGCCTTCTAGTTATCCTTCTCCGTCTTTCCCCTCTGCCCCCTCTATGATTATAAAATGAACTATCAGGGAAAAAAAATTAACACACACTGATTCTATTTTTAATTCAGTATTGGTGAATTAGTTCCATCTCCCCTTAACTGAACACAACTAATACAAAGAGGCTTTAACAAGCATTTTATAATGTAATTTTAAAGACTATACGACAAAGGGTAAAAAAATCATATCAAGTCAAAGTGATGAACCAAAGAGGCAAAAAAATTAAAGTTACTCCACCCTCCCTCATTTTATAAATAAGCAACTTACAGCTTAGAATGTTGACAAAACTATACAAAGTCACTCAGAAAAGCAATACTAGTTTCATTTTTTATACATAAAAAACAGTGGTCATAGACCTAAGGAAGAAAAAAAAGAACTTTTTATTAAAATCAATTAAGATGCAAATTTTCTATGTTTTATACCTGAAAATCATCAGCAAGCTCAGGAAAAAGGTGTTCATACATTTTCAGTTCTTCTATCGTTCGTCCTGGTACTTGCTGGGGCTTTAATTTGTTAATATCTGTCTCAATATCATCATTCTGAAATAAGAAAAACAGGATGCCACTAGTTTAGAAAAACACAAAAATTATTGAACACACAAATTTTACATTTAAAGTGTTCTAAAATATTACATGTGATCAAGAGAATAATCACTGAATACAGGTTGTATTAATTGTCCTTTGCTTTTGGTTATGGTTATTTTAATATAATCTGGGTTCCTCAAGACAAAAAGTCCATGTCAGTATCAAGACTAAGTATGCTCTCCTCAACTTCCCTGTTATCATGTTGCATATATATATCCAATATCAATTTTGGCCCAGAAGCTCTTCAGAGGAGAGCTGACACATCCCATCATAGGAGGCCAAGTGTCAGAAACGTCAGTTCACATAATACCCAAGCTATTTTCTAGGATCTTCACTATCTGGCCACACACAAATACAAACTCATCATTACCTTTACAGACAGTAATAGGCCAACTATTAATTTTCAACTGGTACTCATTCTTAAGTTTCTATTTATGTTACTATCAGAGTAAATAACTTATCTTTCAATTTTACAGCAAATTTATTTTACTCTGCTTCAATAATGTATCTGACTTCATTTATACATATTTAAATAGAAACTATAGTATATTTCTTATTTTATGTTGAGAAATTTAGCTCTTATTTGTATAAACAATAAACAAGATTTTTCTCATTGCAATGAATAGAAATCTATTTTATTTAAATAATGTTAATCACTGTATTGTTATGCAAGTCATTACTGCATAAATATGTATTTCAACTAGAAATTATTCATGATATAGTTTATTAAAATCTAATAGATAATGCATCCAAAATAAGAAAACTATTTACAAAGATTTCTTTCCTTTAAACACAGTAGTTCAATGTTTAACATTATTTTGTGAAAATATATCTTATTTACTGGCTCTAGTTTACAAAAGAAAACAAAGTGTAAAACAAGCAAAATGAGGAAAGAAAACTGCAACAATAGTAGGGAAAGTTTGGGGGCTTTGAAAAAAAACAGAAGAGAAGAACTCCTGACAGATTCATCAGAAAGAATACAGCTTGCTACCACTCCTTAAACTTCTTCTAAAGTTACGGCAGGATCAAAGAATATACTGAATTTTATGGCTATCTGAAGAAGAGTCTTTATATAATACTCCAAACTGAAAAATCTGGAACAAAGGAAATGAAATCACTATAGTGAGAGAAAAAAAAACAGTCTCTTAAGACTACAACCACATTAGAACACAAGTTATTATACCAGCTATAATACAGCAGTCTACCTGAAGCATAAAAGAAATGATGAGATTCAGATTTTTAAAAAAGGAAAAGTTAAGGAAAGTCCAAGTGGAACAGTCAATGAGAGTAAGCGACACATAGTAATAGAGGAAAAAAGAAGTTATTATGGCTTAGCAGTCTCAAAAAGACAATTCTGAAAGCCTTGAGGAAAAATAATACTCTCCCGTGGTAGAGTAGACACTAGTTTGGACTTATATAGGGTTAAGAGTTAAATGAATATTATTATTTTTTCTTATTAGTATAACTGGTGTTTTAAGGGAAAATGTAAGCAACCACTGACAATTCAGTGAATAATGCAAGCCATCAACTCTATTTGCAAAGATAACAGTGTCACAAGCAAAGTAAGCTACAGAAATGTTTCAGATTAAAGAAGACTAAAGAGACAAGACAGTAAACACAATGTCAGATGCTAGACTCTATACTAAAGAGGAAAAACAACTTTACAAAGGACATTATAAGATCAACTGACAAAATGGCAAATTAAAGTTTCAAATCACTGTATACTTATGAAGCTGATAACTGTATTGTGGTTATGTTGATGTACTTATGAGTAAAGGACCATGATATATGACATGTAACTTACTCTCAAATGAATAAAGTTTTTTAAAATGTGTACTCATGCATACACACAACTTTCAAACAGCAAAATCAGTCACACTGTTAAAATTTCTCATTGAGTTCTACTCTCATCAATACCTATCTTTGTATCTGTAGTCATCAAGACAGATACTTTTAATGAGAAAATGGAGACACAAAGAATGAATTATTAATAGACATGGAAATATATAAGAAAGGTTTCCATCAAAATGTTTTAAAGATAAAAAGTCATCTGGAAAATCTGGTGTTAATCAGGAAAATTTTACTACCACCAAATACTCAATTTCTAAAGAATCCAATCAATTTTTAATGTAGGTCCTATTATCTATGGAACTTTTACATATGGAGTGGATCCCAGATCTCTCACTTATATCAAGCTCATAACCAAAAATTCAGTTATCCTAGATTTCTACCCTTGACCATCCTAACCTGCACTATTTTCCTTCTTGAGGCCAGGATGCAAACATCCAATTAGCTAGTTTGACAAATTCTTTAAAAGATGCCTCAGTGATCATATTTGGTGGTAATGAAATTGGTTCTTTATCTGTTATTAGGATAGATATCATCCAGTAGCTTAGATTCTGGAGAGTCAAATACTCAGTGTGTATTTTAATGCAGTGTTCCAAGACTGAAAACAAACAAACAAAAATCCAAGCAGGCAAGAGTCAAATTAATCCCCTATCCCCTAAAACACCAAGCTGTAAGCTAAATATAGTTAGCAAATCAGAGACCATTTTTAAATACATGCTATAGTGCCCTCTGCCACTAAATAAAGTAAAAGAGTTTCTAAGCTTCCAGAGGTGCCATAAAATTCTGAAAATCACCTGCCTCTTTTACCTAGTATCTCATGAAATGTGACACTAATTTTATATTTCCTCAACTCTATAACCACTTTTCTCCTTTTCCTTGACCAGTTAACTAAAATCTACGAATCATTATATAAACACTAATTCTTACCAAAAAAGTTCATCAATTAGTTCTAGACTGTTTTCCTATTATTTTTATATCCCCAAAGACTGCTGACAGAAGGCAATGTGTTTTGCAGTAAGTTCCTCAATAGTCTTAACCCTCTTCCCTTAGATTCCTTAGACTTCAAAATCTAATCATAAGAGTTAAATAAAATCTTTTTGGACAGGAAAAAAAGTTACTTCAGGGCCCTTTCCAGATCAGTGATTTAAAGCAACATTTGTTCTTCAATCATTTAGTATGCACAATCATCCACAATAAAACAATTTGGATAAACCAAATTAATAGACCATTGTATGTATTTACTAAGTCTTTGTTTTGTAATTGAAGTATATACTTCATAAAGTTGACTAATGATTAAAAAGTGTACTAACCTTAAAATTTTGATCTACATCATCTTCATTTTCATTTTCGTTTTCAGCTTCTAAATCAATATCATCGTTGTCATCACTTTCATCTACTACGTCATCCACTATGATACAAAATGTGCTATAAGTAGGTCAGAGGTAAGCATTCTATAACATGCACATCCAAAAGTAGAATGTTACATATATCACACATACACATTAAGTATTTCAATCACCAAAAAAAGTAAACAAGTTTGTTTACTAAAAATGTCTCTAAGGCTGTCCCAATAATTTGGAAAGCACTATAAAAATAAGTGTTTTTTTAACTAATGTTCCCAGTTGTAAATATATACATATACATATATATATAATGCCTTACATTGTAACGACATGAATGAAATATCCTGTTTCCTATTTATGATAATGTTTTTTTCTTTTGCAGTTCTGGGGTTTAAACTCAGAGCTTATACCTTGAGCCACTCCACCAGCACTTGTTTTGTGATGGTTTTTTTCAAGACAGGGTCTCACAGAACTGTTTGCCCGGGCTGGCTTTGAACTGCGATCCTCTTGATCTCTGCCTCCTAAGTAGCTAGGATTACAGGAGTGAGCCATTGGTGCCCAGCCTATTTGTGGTAAATCTCAATGACTTACTTCATCCCTTCACAACTGTGTGGTCTACTGGAAACTTTTTAAAGATATGTTAATATAGTCCATGCTTATTCAAATACATGGAGATTAAACAACACACTTTTGAATGATTAAAATTTAGCAAAGAAATTTTACATTTCCTAGATTTGAATGAAAATACAACCTACCAGAACATTTGGAACATACCCATGCATGCCTACATTAGAAAGTCAGACAGATCTCAAATAAACAACTTAATGATGTACCTCAAGCTCTGAGAAAAACATGAACAAGCCAAGCCCAAACTCAGTAGATAGAAGGAAAAAATAATATCAGCGCAAAAAGTAGTGAACTGAAAACTACACTTCAATAGTAGTGAATAATACAAAAATCAATGAAACAAAGACCTGGTTCTTTGAAAAGGTAAATAACACCGAAAAACCTTTAGCCAAATGAACTAAAAGAAAAAGGGGGAAGATGTAAATTAATAAATTTAGAGATGACAAAGGGGGTATCACAAAAAAAACACTAATGAAATTCTGAGGATCATCTCGGGATTACTTAGAAAGCCTATATTCTAATAGACTGGAAAATCTAGGAGAAATGGATAAACTTCTTGATGCATTATGACCTACCAAACTGAGCCTACAGGAGCTAAGCCACCTAAACAGATCTATAATACAATAGAATTGAAGCAGTAGTAGTCTCCCAACAAAGAAAAGCCTACAACTAGATAAATTCAATGCCAAATTCTAGCAGACCTTTGAAGAAAACTAACACCGTTACTCCTCAATCTATTCCCCAAAACAGAAAGGGAAGGCATATTACTAAACTCACTCTACAAAACCAGTATTACCCTAATACCAAAACCAGGTGAAGACACAACAAAAAAAGAAAGTGACAGACCAATTTCCCTGATGAACGTAGATGTAAAAATTCTCAGTAAAATACTTTCAAACACATTTAAAAAGATGATATACCATGATCAAGTTGGCTTTATTAAACAATACAATGATGGTTCAACATACACAAATCAATAAATGGAATATGGCACATAAACAGAATAAAGGACAAAAATCATGTGATCATTTCAATGGATGCAGAAAAGGCCTTTGACAAAATTCAACATACTTTCATGTGAAAAGCTCTAAAAATGCCATGAACAGAAAACTGTACTGCCACATAATCAAAACCTTTAAAAAAGAAGTTTCTGAGTAATCCATTTTGAAATTTTGTGTCCAAAAAGCATAGCTTTAATCATTAAATATTTTAAAAATAACAGTGGCTCACACCTGTAATCCCAGCTACTTGGGAGGCAGAGATAGGAGGATCATGGTTTGAGATCAGCCCAGGCAAAAAAGACCCTATCTCAAAAATCCTATCTCAAAGAACAAGCCAGGCACTATGGCATACACCTATAATCCAAACTAAGCAGGAGGCATAGGTTGGAGGAGCATTGTCTGAAGCCAGCCAAAGCAAACAGCATGAAACCCTATCTGAAAAACAAACTCAAGAAAAAAGGGATCAGAGCATGGCTTAAGTGGTAAAATGCTTGCCTAGAAAGCACAAAGTCTTGAGCTCAAACCCCAGTACCACCAATAAATTAATAAAATAATACCACACATTTTGACATATACCATTACTAAATCTATATCCAGGATTATAAAGCTAATTATAATTACTTGAAATTTTCTTTAAAGCAATTATTTCAAATAAGTATTTTACATGTAAAAAAGATCTTCAATTTTTTTTCAAAAATGTAGCCAACAAGAAAATACTACAGAAATTCTATGAATAACAAAGACTAAATTCTCATTTCCATTTCACTAGCCATTATCCAAAAAAAAAATTATTTTCCCCACATTACAAAGTTTAAATTCTTATTTATCTACTACATACATACAGTTAAAAAAAAAAGTAACAAACAACCCACCTGTAATAATTTCACATTTCTTCCAGGTATGTGCAAATTTGTGTTAAGCATATAAACCATAAATAATTTTGGTGACTAGGTTTTTTAACATAAGAAAAAAGTTCACTAAAAAACTGCAAATATAAACCCAAACATAACTACGTAAACATTAAATTATACCATCTTATTTATACTTTGAAAATTTATATAAATGTTTCTATGTGATGCTTAGTTTTTTACAATTCACATTTACATACATGCATATATGCCACACTATTTCCTTTGATTACTAGACTTCAATATCTTATATTAACAGAAATGTTTATTAACTAAAATAAAATGTGAAAGTTTATCATGTTGTGCACAAGCCACGTAATTCCAAGGGCCAATGGAACCCTGTGACCCTACCTTCAGGGGGTAAGCTGTAAAGCTGGGCCACAGGTCCAGTCACAGGAATAACTGGCAACTGGAAATGGAAAGAACTCTTAATTGTTGGCAGTGGCAGGCGATTTTTGGGGAAACACTTCCTCATTATCAGACTGGAGGTGTTGACAAGAGGATCAAGAGTCCTGACTGCCAAACATTCCTGTTTTGAAAAGAAGAAAAATAACACAGGTTTGGTGAATAACTGAACAAAGGTTACATTACTTCAGAAAGTACTATAGTGAAAATTTTGTAGAGACAACTATCACAAAAAATAGTATTTTAACAAGGGAAAATCATAAAATAACTTATTATTCAGAAGTGCCTATTTATAAATAAGAACCTCACATGGCAAATTCAATAAGACTTTTTAATATGCAGAAATAAAATAAAATTAAAAATAAAAATAAATAAAATCACCAAACTACTACATGTGAGTCACTTACAGAACATTTAGCAAGTCTAGGACAAAAATGAAGAAGAATATTTAAGAGGAGCTAGGAGAAAATATTAAGAATGTAAGAAAGGTAAAAGAAATAAAAAGAAACATACAAATGAACAGATGTCTATCAGTTCATAAGTTGTTCACTCAATTTATAAAAGAACAACCTTAACATCCTAATTTAAAGTCGTAAGAGTTTGATTTCCTGTCCTGGCATCTAGTTTTGAGAAAAGTTAAAGGATAGGGGATTTGAAACCATGTCATATAACAATACTGTTAGTGACAATTGCCATTTAGATGGCACTTTGATACACTAAAATGTTCAATACACGTTTTTACATCTGACTTGTAAAATAAATGAAAAAGGCCTTAGTAATGTTAATTCTAATTAACACCTAATTCTCCCTCAAATATCAAATATCCATTGCTGTCTATAGTACAAATAGTTTCAAAAGGTGTGTAATATTGCTCTAAAAATAAAATACTAAGAGTAAACATATCTACTGTCATATTGAAAGATCACTTATCATGTATAAAACCAATTATGACACAACTGAGATGAAGGGCTGGGATTTTCAAAACAAGTTTCTTTCTAATAACTACAGCCTTCTAAAACTCAGAGGGTTTCAGTGCACCATCTCCACTCCCCTACCGACAGTCTTCTACAGATACTAGTAAAGTTTCCATTGAACACATGTCAAGAATGTTCACACTTAAAGTGGCTGGAAGAGCTAGTGTTCCTAGATCTAGGTTTCACTTCCTGTCTTCTCTACTCACGAAAGGCTTTATCCAGCAGGAAGACATGCAGAACACTCACAAACAAAGATCCACAACCACCTCATGAGGAAAGCATTCAAAAGTAAGTCAGGACAATAAGCCACCTTACTCTCTGATTTATCCCTTGTGGTTTTGACCACGCATCATCAATAAATAAATAAGCTAACATTTTTTTAAAACAAAATTTTTTAATTATGCAGCTCCACTTATGCAGAAAATTGCTCGGTCAGTCCCACACAAATATTTGTGTGATCTGCTGAGTTTTCCCTGCCCTTAATTTTGTGAAAATATGCATCCCAAAAAGCAAGGCAAAAGTTAATGTACATAATTTAAGTGATAAAATAAAAATTTTAGATTTGTTGAAAGGCAGCAAATCATTAGCAGATTGGGAAATATTCTGGGGAACATGAAATATGCCATCCACAGTACAGTACTGAACTCTATGCATCCTGAGCATTTGCAGCTTTTCCTCAGTGGCAGTCTCCTTGGAAACATATACTTATGGATATCAAGCGTCTACTGTAGAGTCAACTAAACATCCTAAAAAGCATGGCTACAGGGCAGGGAATTTCACATTCCAAGAGATGTGCACTGACCACTTCCTCCAATTCAGTCTGGGGTCACATGTGAGAAATGATTGTGTCTTTTGGTTTCAAGGGTTTTTAAAAATATATTTATCATAGGCTGGGCATGGTGGCTTATGCAAGGAATCCCAACTACTCAGGAGGTAAAGATTGGGAGGATTGCAGTTCAAGGCCAACCGGGGGAAAAAAAAGATGTTAGTGAGACTCCATCTCAACAAAAAAGCTAGGCATGGTGGGATGTTCCTGTCATTTTAGCTATGTGGGAGGTATAAAAGGGAGGATCAAAGTCCAGGCCACCCCAGCAAAAACACAAGCCCCTACTTGAAAACTAACTAAAAGCAAAAAGGATTGGATGAAAAACCCCTTTGAACATTGACTTTGGAATTAATAATGAAGGACAGGGCTGTAAAATAAGTTCAGTGTGGGGAATACTCGTGGAAAAGGAGGAATGAAGAAGATGAAGGTGAGGGACTATGGACTTCATATACATATACAAAATAGAGCAATGAAACCTCTTGCAACACTTTAAGTGGGGAGGGGAGGAGATTATGAGGTAGAGAGATGGTGGGGGCAATCTGACCAATGTACCATGTAAGTGTATTGGGAATTGGCATAATAATCCCCCCTGTACAATGAATATATGCTAATAAAAATGAAAAAGGGTTGGAAGCATGGCTCAAGTGGTACAGCACCTGCCTAGCAAGTGAGAAACCCTGAGTTTAAATCCCATTACGACCACACACACACACACACACACACACACACACACACACACACATCATAGATATACTTTCTCACATTAATTCAGTTTTTCAAGACCAAAGTCATATCATTTGTACATAAGTAGAAAAATAGGAAGAAAGTAACTCACTTGTGAAGTGTTATACAGAATTTTCATCCCATTGGCATCAGTAAATGCTTTTCTTCCCAACTTGATGTTTGTAACATTTTTTAAGCTCTGTAAAATTCCTTTCCGAATGAGCATGTGTCTATGCCGGTTATCATGGCGATGCCAATCTACATAAATTGTTAAAAGCACTTGGACATATCCTCTGTCTACAGCTCTCCTGGCATTTGTTTCTTTAATAAAAGAAAATTGAGAAAGAATAGTTTTTAAATAAGAGAACATATTCAAATAAATCAAACTAAAAATATAACCTGAATATTGTGATGAATTAAAATTTTTTCCAAAACAAAAGATAACTACATATTTAAATGTTTTCCTAACAAAATAAATATGAAAGGTTTCAGAAGGTATTATATTTTCCAGAAAATTTCTTGACTATATATTGTTTCAGGTTTATAAATATCAAAATATCCTTATTAGTTGAGTGTGATGGTGTACACCTATAATCCCAGTACTTGGGGAGCCTGAGTTTGAAGCAAGCGTGGGCTACATAGCAAGACCCTGTCTCAAAAAAATAAATTGCTTTAGTACCACAAAATCTACATCTTTTTTAATGCTAGTACTAACAAAAGCTTCATATATTTTAAAACTTATGAATAATATCCTGACTTTATATCATGTAGAATTTATATACCTTTAACTTTACTAGCTGTGAATATGATTAAAATTACAGTGTTCCCACTAAAATTAACCTGTTTAGATGGGATTGGAAACTATGTTTCCAGTGAACTTAATTGCTCTAATTATCCCACAATAACATAAATAGCCACTCCATAACAATACTAACTTAAAAATGTAACTTTTTAGTACATTAAAGGTGAGAAGCATCACATGATTAGAAAACAGTTCTTTCTAGGCATTAAAATTTTAATGAAATGAAAACTACATTAAAGATTTTGTGAATGGTCAATTTTATTGGAATACAATTAACAGAAATGAATCTACAAATTGGCCTGATTTATTTTTAAAGTATTGGTATTTAAGATTATCAATCTTAAAGATACATTTTACTAAGATAGCAAAGAAATCACATCATAGCAACACACTAAGCAACCTAGCACTTCACTACTTTGGTGTGTGTTATTACAGGACTGCAAGATTAACTGGTTAGAAAACCAACCCATTTCAGGTTGTTTAGTTACAAGGAAATTCTAATCTCTTCTTAATCTCAAATTTACCTATAAAATGACCCCTGTTAATGGCGTGGACAATAAGATGATGCTGAGTTTAGTTGCCTAAGAGAATTATTTAGTTCCAAATGTGCTAATAGTGAGATTTTCTTTCAGAACGCTCTTCTGACCTCAGAGAGGTGGAAGAATTCACAGGGGGAGAAAGCTTTCTCATGTGAAAGTTTTAAAATCTCCATTTTATCTAAAACAGCTAGGTTTCTAAGGCTGTGGCTATTTACACAATCAGTTCGATTGTTTTGACCAACAAAAGTTTCCTTTCTTTTAAATAAATATGCACTTAATTCACACCACTTGAAATACATAAACTTTTAGTTTAACAGCCATGAGTGTGATTTTGTTAAAAGCCATTATGATCATTTTAACTATTATTAATTTTTGTGCTTCTGCCAGAATTCCCAATAGCTTATATGGTATTTATGACAAACATTAAAGGGTTTTGGAAAGACTACATAAGAAACTTGACTATACTTCAAACACAGTGCTGAGGTAACCATTAAAGAAAATGTACACAGCTGTCTGCAATCTACACTGAGCAAAGGAATTTTTATTCATGTGTTCAGAGTATAAAATTACCTACCATCCTGTCCCTTCTTCCTTCTCTAATTAAAATAAAATGTAAATTTACCTTTAGACTGCAGCGTCTAATTTACACTCCAATAATGTCAACTAAGCTGCCTACCTTTATATTCTTTACACCCTCCCACATTTATCTTAGTAATCAAGTTCATCCTCTTAAAGTAAATGATTGTCTCCCAAAAAAACAAGGAAAATTTTAAAGTATACATAAATTTATGCTCCAAATGCCATGGTCCATTTAAAAAATATGCAGTGTGCCAGTAAGTGCTATTTTGCATTATTAAATTTAATCCTATTTAGTGTCACATGTAACTTGAAAATGTAATAAATATTAACTACTTATCAGTTACTTTTTTTTCCTGATGGAATAAATAGGTATGTTTGCCCACCATCCTCCTTTGAAAAAAAAAAAGGAAACAAAAGGATGACTAATATAAAAAACTGAAAATACTGGATTTCAGTGATATTAGACTAATTGATTCCTGTAAAATTCCTGAAACATCTGAGTTTTAGTTTTTACTGACTTACAATTAATGACTTTGTCAAGTGATTCTGAAAATGTGATTTTATAATTAAACTTTAAACAACTATTCTAATCTTTTTCAAATCAAAAATACATGCCTTTATTAATTTAGGAATAAATCCTTTTTTTTTTTTTGGTGGGACTGGGGTTTGAACTCAGGGTTTCTGGCTTGCAAAGCAGGCATATCTACCACTTGAGCCACACCTCCAGTTCAAGAATTAATCTTTATACAATTTGAATTACAAAGTCAAAGCATATCAAAGCAAGGCTAAAAACACCTTTTAAAGTTAATCCACATGTATTTTTCATCTAAATTTTATCACATCACATATGAAAATAAAACTACATGACTAACCTTATTGAACACCATGTATTTCATTACAAGAATAAAATTGTTAAATGAGAACTCTAGTATATAATACTAATACTTAAAATGATTTTTAAAATTTAATAAGTCATAACCAAACATCTGATTTTTCAACTTGCTAATACTCAAATAATTCTAAAAATTAAAAATTAAGGGCAAGTTGGTCTCACCCCTGACAGTTTTTGACCAATTGCCTATTAATTATGTCTTAGGAGAACTGGTCATATAAAATCCATCGACACATCTTTAAGACTAAATGTCAAGACATTTAGAAAGGAAATGTTAATCAACATCATTCATGAAAGTACTAGTAAAATATTTAAAATAGAGATGAGTATCTCCAACACCAAAGAAAACCTATAAATGTAGATGATTATTGTCCAAAAGCATCATAAGATACATCTATTGCAATGCTTAAAGTGCTTAGTTTTGTAAATGAATTTATCAGAACTATATATTTACATTGTCACTCTTTAAAATGTTAAAAACTTGAAATTATGATAGAAACAAAATTTCTAATAAGTTTCCAAGTGAACATAATATGATACAGATTGTTGAAAATACTAAAAGTTCTCAATATCATGCTAGCTTCACTTTTTTAAAAAAGTGATACTTGTAGTAACTTTTCTTCTACAAACAGGGCTTTATGCTTATATAAGTAACTCAAACTTAGGATATTAATATGTTTAAACAAACTATAGAAATGTACCAAATAAATTATAGCTCAATAAGCATAGCTAGAGCTATATGAATTTTGCCAGAAGGTAGTCAAATTTGGTATTAAAATATTACAAACCAGCTTTAAAACTATACACTAAATCCAAATTTTCAGTTTCTTGAACAAAATAAATAGAATGTTAATAAAAACAGTATCTATTATTTCTAGTATTCAAAAACTTACTTGATTTTAGCAATGCAGCAAGAGTGTCTAAAGCAACCCTGTCAACACAACAAGAAAACACAAACAACAACAAAACTAGTAAAATTAATCTACAATAGTAAATTCATACAATCTTGTTATGTAAGTAATTATTCTATTTTCTACTCCAAAATTTATTCATGTAACAGCATCAATAACATATCATGTTTCTCTGTCCCTTCAGGTTAAAAATTAGATATGAAGACTGAAAAATAAAAAGTATTTCAAAATTTTTAAGAAAAAGAAAATTAATGTTGTCAAAGCAGTTGTCAGATGCTAAATGAGTGAAACCAATTATTTTATATGTATTTGATCCTAAGGGTGTTCACAAGGAGCCATACTATTAAGAATCACAGGCCCTGACTTATAAAGGAATTAAAACAGAAACAAGTTTTAACACAGATTAATTTTAAAACTATATAATTGTATAGACATCTTCTTTACCTTCTCACATTAAAGTATTTCAGTTCTATCAAATTATAATTGTTATATTTCAGGTGTAAAACATTTTGGAACTTGGAAGTTTGGGGAGAAGAATGATCCCTTAACATCTTTCAGCCATGAGGCACAAAGAAAATAACAAGCTTGATTATCTCAAAAACTTTTACTGCCCCTTAGAGGACAAAGGAATAGCCCTAAAAATTGAAGATACATATATTTTCCTGAAATATACTCAGTTAAACACAGTGAAGAAAACAACTACCATTAACAGCTATAAAAATACATATCACTGTGGAAAACCTGTAATTCAAATAGTTTTTAAAAATGAGTTACTGAAAAAATGGCACTTAATTTTAATAACTTTAAAAATGTAAAGCTACAAACTATAGTATCTCTTAGTAAGATACTAACTCTAATTTGGATCAAAAATATGTATGTTATCAAACTTCATTAAGCATTTCACTCACCATTAAGCATTTGTTGAATGCCTACTAGATACCCACAGTAGCAAGTTCTTCATGAGTGTAAAATTAGAAAACAAACTTATCTTCTCCACAGATAGTTTTACAATCTACATAATGTAATAAAATGTGCACAGCTATGAAAAAACTAAACCTGAAACAAAGTAGCAAAGTAAAAGTCATATACATTTAAAGGAAAGGAAGCATGACCAGATGTAGAAAAAGGTAGAATATAAATGTCTATACAGATGAATAGTGGTTCACAGTGAAACCTGAAACAATAATCCATGACCAGACAAAGTAAGTATTCAGTAATGACAATTGGAGGAAGTTCTTAATAGTTATTGTTGGTAATAATGGCACCAATAGGTTTCAGTTCTTACTGCACCTTTAAGCTTCTGTTTTCCTGGGTCACGGTCCTGCCTCCCAGGGTCACAGTCCAGCCTCAAGTCTAGCTTGAATCTTCCTTCTGCCCCAACCTCCAATCAGCATGAGCCATAAGATCCTAACCAATCAGATCATGCTGAGTCTCACTGAGGGGTATTTAAGCCCCTGCCCCTCTCTCCCTCTCTCTCTTGGCTCTCTGCTCTCTTCCTCTCCTACCCGGCAATAAAGAATCTTTTGGCCAGATCACTCCTCTCCACGTTGTCACTTTTGGGGCCTGCATTTCCTCACATTTGGTGCCCTCTGCAAGGGTAACCACTGGAGGTCTAAGTGCCCCCGTCACCAGATGGAAGGCGAGGTGCCACCTTCTATGGATTGATGGGTCCAAGCCTCCTGTCCACATTCCACTTCTTGGCATCAGTGTTGAGGAGCCATAATGGCAGGGAAAAAAAGGCCATTTCCCTCCTAGACAGTGGAGCCCGTTTCTCTGTTTTACCTTTTTCTCCTGGTCCCCTGTCCAATGACAAAAGTTATCGTTCGGGGAAAATCTGGCTAGCCCCTAGAGCGCTAGTTTACCTGGCCTCTGGCCTGCTCTTGGGGAGACCTCCTCTTCTGTCACTCTTTCCCCATAGTACCTGAAACTCCAGTGTCCCTGCTGGGACGGGATTTAGTATCTCAATTAAAGTTCAAATTCTCCTCCCCTCAGGCAGCTATCTCTGCTGCCCCCTCCTTCAGGAACAAATAGATCCCACAGTGTGGACTGATGAGATGAGTGTAGGGTGAGCCAGGACAGCCCTCCCTATTAAAATAAAACTCAAAAATCCCTCACAGTTTCCACACCCAAACAATATCCCCTCAATCCTGAGGGATGATAAGGCCTTATGCCTATCATAAATTCCTTAAAACAACAAGGGCTACTAATTAGTTGCTCCAGCCCCTACAATAAATTTAAAATTCTTATAAAAGTTAATTTTAAAAGTTACAAAGTAAACAACCGGAAAGGATATAGATAGGTAATAAATGTATTTTTTGAGAAGTTAAAGGAAAAAGGAATGGTTTTTTGGATGAGAAGGGATTTTGCAAAAAAGGGTTTATTCCGAAAGATTGTTTCAAATAGGAAAGATGAGGACAAACCATCAAAGGGTTTAGTATGTTGTATGAAGTCTGAGTAAGTTTGAAAAGTGTATAATAAAAACTTCGGTGTGTGATAAAGTTAAAGTTGAATATAATCTAAGAGTTGCCTAAAAGATTTTTAGGGTCATGTCAAACTAAAATCAAATCCTCTATGTCTATGAAATAACAAGGTTATCTTAATATTGTTCTGCTCTGAGTAACATCTACAAAAAACCATTACAGAGAAAGATTTTATCAAAGAAATTATTTGTGTTTTCTGCTGATCTTGTCAAGCTTTAAGTACTACTAAATCAGAGTTCATTTACATATTTGCTTATGTGTCTTAAATGACCACCTTGTAAGTGTTATCTGAATATGGTACAAACATTTAAAAGGTTAAAAGTGTCAATTTATATAAAATAATGAGCTAAAGCTTTCTTTTATCCAAGAGTGTTACATTTAAATCCTGACAGTCCCTGTCTCCCACAGGTCACCTACCTAGGTGTGGCCTTAAAGGGACAGACTCACTCCCTGAGTCATAAATGCATCAACCCAATCTTCTGTTTCCCAACCCCCATACCGTAAGACAGCTTACAGCTTTCCTGGCAGTTATAGGATTTTGCAGAATTTAGATTCCTAGGTATGTAGTCCCTGAACAGACACCTTTTTATGCTCCTCCTAATATTCCTATTTGGGTCTTAGATAATGTATGGCCACCCATTTCTCTTAGAAAAACTTGCCTCCAACAGACTCTGCTCCTCTGGCTGACTACCTGCCTTCTCAAGGAACTTCTCAGAGAGCATGCAAACCAGATCCTGCCCCACCCTATAACAATTTCTGTTAAACCAGGGCATCTTGTTCTCCAAAAGGATATTCTACCCTCTCCATTGGGACTTTGATGGACCAGCCCTCATCTGGTCATTCTCATGACACCCACTACTGTCAAGCTCAGGGTTCCCCCAATGGCTACACCTCTCAAGAAACAATTAGAAAATGGAGAAGGGAATTGGAGGACTCTTGAAATTGTCTAGGGAACAACATTTCACAGTGGTTCTCCTGGCCAATGCCCATCCTAATGCCTATGTTCTTGCTCCCCTATTCTTAAGCTTTCTCCCTTGTATCACACTACATGTCTGCTATTGCTAATTAAAAATTTAACCAATTGTACCTCCAGGGATACCAACCTCTCAAACACAAGGATAGCTGGCTGATACCCACCATGTGGAGGTCGGAGGATTGGCTCGAGACTCTTTATGACCTATGGCTACAAGGGACCTTCATCAACTTCAGGGAAGAGGAAATCTTCATTTTTGGAGCCTGGGTGGATGCCATCATGAGGCTCAGCACCCCAATATTGTTTGCCAACTGACCCTCCCTTCCCCTACGCCGCCCCTTGCCAGCTCGAAGAAGCCGGGGTGAACACAACGCCCCCCTTCCTTAACAAACAAAAAAGGGAGGAATGTTGGCAATGATGGCATGGATAGGTTTCAGTTCTTACTGCACCTTTAAGCTTCTGTTTTCCTGGGTCACAGTCCAGCCTCAAGTCTAGCTTGAATCTTCCTTCTGCCCCAACCTCCAATCAGCATGAGCCATAAGATCCTAACCAATCAGATCATGCTGAGTCTCACTGAGGGGTATTTAAGCCCCTGCCCCTCTCTCCCTCTCTCTCTTGGCTCTCTGCTCTCTCCCTCTCCCACCCAGCAATAAAGAATCTTTTGGCCAGATCACTCCTCTCCACGTGGTCACGTTTGGGGCCTATATTTCCTTACAGTTATATTGTGGTTTGATACCAATCAAACACGAGTCTTTCCTTGTAATAATAATTGTAAAATAAAAACAAATACATGTTTTTAAAAATATTGTAAATTCACACCTGTAACATTCTCAAAACAATATGAATATTGAATTAAAAGTAAATGAATATTCTGAAGTTATGTACTGAATTTCGTTGCCTTGAATGAATCATCAGTGAGTAATTTATACTTTTAATAATGTGCACAGAGATTGTAAAACTGAGAATAAACATACTCAGAATAAGGATGGGTTTAAAACTGGTCAAAACTAAATACAGAACTAAATGATCTTCCAAATCTAACTGCTATTTACAAAAACTAAACTTAAAAAGAAGACTCCTTTTTAATAAGGATGTCTTTAATATATCAGAACTTCATATTCAATGGAGAGACCACACAGGAAAAAGGCCTATATATATGACCATAAGATACATAAATTATAAATGTACGTGCATCAAATGTTGATAAGCTGAATTTTACAAAACAAAACTACAAGATTTAAAGGGAGAGGTAAGCCTAATATAATAATAGTGGGAGATTTCAATACCCCACCCTCTATCATCATACTGAATAAGGAAAAACTGAAAAGAACTTCCTCTAAGATCAAGAACAAGACAAGAGTGTCCACTCCCACCACTCTTACTCAAAATACTACTAGAAACTTTATCTAGAGTTCTTTCGCAAGAGAAGGTAGTAAAAGACATACAAATAGAAAAGAAGGAAGTCAAATTATCCCTATTTCCAGGTAATATGATTCTACAAATACAGAAAAACCAAAAGAATATCAAGACTGATGAGCGAATTCAGTAGAGTAGCAGGATATACAAT